CCGGGGGCCGCACACCTCACACCGCCGCCGGGCACCCCACAGGCCCGGGCGGGGCAGCGGCCGCAGCGCCGGACACCGGAGGGGCCGCGGAGCACCCTGGGTATGCAAATCAGGCCGGTTACGAGGCGCCGCTAATGAGGAGGTGGAGCCGGCGGCGCGGATGGGCGGGGCAGCTTGGTGTTGTGGACAGCGGTGGCACAGCGGATCCATTTCCATCCCTACGGTCCGAACGGCGGGGGCATTGCTGATATTCCCCGTGGTCGCAATTCATTAACAACAACACACCCTAAAGAACGCTCAGCATTTGCTCTTTCCTTAACCAGGCATGGTTAGCTCCACCGTAATGGAGCCACAAAAATTCTCTTAAGACTCGTACTAGTTCCTCTCCACGGAAATCTTTAGTAAAAGGGGAAAGATTTATACGATCTGAAGAGAATCCAGAGTATGGCCCTGCTTGGCCCCGCACATATGCCCACTCCCTGCTGCTGCCCCAAGGGCACGGCGACGCTCACGCAATTCCTTTTCCCAATTCCCATTCCTTCCGGCGCCTCACGCGGCCCGGCACCAGCCGCTACCACAGCCCGGCTGGCCCGACCCCGGCCCACACCGGCCCGCACCATACCGATCACAGCAAGCCATTGTTTTTGCCGGATATACAAAGCGCCGCCGTATTTAACCGAGAATACTTAGCGGCTGCCATATTTAACTGGACATTGAAGGTCAGGGTTCTAGGTCAGGGTTCTAGGTCACGGTTCTAGGTCACGGTTCTAGGTTACAGTTCTAGGTCAGGGTTCTAGGTTACAGTTCTAGGTCAGGGTTCTAGGTTTCAGTTTCGTTTTCACTTTCGGTTTCACTTTCGGTTTCAGTTTCACTTTCGATTTCAGTTTCGGTTTCACTTTCGGTTTCAGTTTCACTTTCGGTTTCAGTTTCACTTTCGGTTTCAGTTTCGGTTTCACTTTCGGTTTCGGTTTCACTTTCAGTTTCAGTTTCAGTTCTAGATCAGGGGTCTAGGTTACGGTTCTAGGTCAGGGTTCTAGGTTACGGTTCTAGGTCAGGGTTCTAGGTTACGGTTCTAGGTCAGGGTTCTAGGTTTCAGTTTCAGTTTCACTTTCGGTTTCAGTTTCGGTTTCACTTTCGGTTTCAGTTTCGGTTTCACTTTCGGTTTCGGTTTCACTTTCGGTTTCAGTTTCAGTTTCACTTTCGGTTTCGGTTTCACTTTCACTTTCGGTTTCAGTTTCACTTTCGGTTTCACTTTCACTTTCGGTTTCACTTTCAGTTTCAGTTTCACTTTCGGTTTCACTTTCAGTTTCAGTTTCACTTTCGGTTTCGGTTTCACTTTCAGTTTCACTTTCACTTTCGGTTTCAGTTTCACTTTCACTTTCACTTTCGGTTTCAGTTTCAGTTTCACTTTCACTTTCGGTTTCACTTTCGGTTTCGGTTTCACTTTCACTTTCGGTTTCACTTTCGGTTTCAGTTTCACTTTCGGTTTCGGTTTCACTTTCAGTTTCACTTTCGGTTTCACTTTCACTTTCGGTTTCACTTTCACTTTCGCTTTCTCGGGTTCTAGGTCAGGGTTCTAGGTCAGGGTTCTAGGTCAGGGTTCTAGGTTACGGTTCTAGATCAGGGTTCTAAGTTTCACTTTCGGTTTCAGTTTCACTTTCGGTTTCGGTTTCACTTTCGGTTTCAGTTTCACTTTCGGTTTCGGTTTCACTTTCGGTTTCAGTTTCACTTTCGGTTTAGGTTTCAGTTTCACTTTCGGTTTCGGTTTCACTTTCGGTTTCTGTTTCACTTTCGGTTTCGGTTTCGGTTTCGGTTTCACTTTCAGTTTCAGTTTCGGTTCTAGGTCAGGGTTCTAGGTTACGGTTCTAGGTCAGGGTTCTAGGTCAGGGTTCTAGGTTAGGGTTCTAGATCAGGGTTCTAGGTCACGGTTCTAGATCAGGGTTCTAGGTCACGGTTCTAGGTTACGGTTCTAGGTCAGGGTTCTAGGTTTC